CTAATGTCTTTGTGGCTGTCACAGACCAGATAATATCATACATACTAAATGGGTACAAGAGTAAGATTTGGGGTAGGAGGCATGCATAAGTTTGCAGTCTCTATTTAAACTTTTCTTAGAATTCAATACAAAATTCTGTACAGATCTTAGCAGGGGCAATTGGCATCCTGAAGCCCCAACTTCATGGGCTTTAGACTAGACAGCTTTAACTGGGGAAGCAAGCAGGACCCTGAGTCATTTCTAATGAACATTAACCTGCCTTTTACTGTGACCTTGAGCTGAACTAGCTTCAGCCTGTGGCTAAGTCCTGCATCTCCTTTGAGTTCTATGCTAATGTACCTTAGATCTGCAACTTGGGATTCTGAACACCCCAAGAAGCCATTGCTCCCACAAGGTGTGTCCAGGCTGTGTGGAGAGGTCTGTCAGGAGACTTTGCATGCCATAGGAAAAGCCTAGAATCAGAGTTTGATCAGTGATAATCTATCTATCCACTAGCCTTCTGAGGCCGTGATAACTAAATTTCACAGCCTGGCTGACTTAAAAAACATTTACTCATTCCCCAGAATTCTTGAGGCTTGGAAGTCTGAGATCTATGGCCAATTTCTCCTGGTGTCCTCAGGCACCCTTTATTCTGTGTGCCCAACAAGGGCAAGATCCCTTTTTGTTCCTCTTCTTTTAAGGCCACCAGCCTGATGGATCAGGGCCCTAACTACTCTGTGACCCCATTTCGTATTGTTTACATTCAAATGACCTGGTGTTCAAATAGTTTCACTCGGGCTTAGAAAACAGGTTTACTGTAGGGCTATGGCTTCCTTGGCCTCAGATTCGGCTTTGCTTCCTAGCTTTTCCTCACTTCCCTTTCTCAGCCTCACTTTGCTTCTCTGCTTCCTTCCTTCCTGCTTCCCTCCTCCCCCCACTCTCCTTTCCTTCCTCCCCTTATCTCCCCTCCTCCCTCCATACATTTCCTTCCCCTTTCTCTTCCTCTTCCTCTCTCTTCCTCTCCCCTCCTCTTCTCTCTCTCTCTCTCTCTCTCTCTCTCTCTCTCTCTCTCTCTCTCTCTCTCTCTCTCTCTCTCTCTCCCTCCCCCTCCACTTTTCCCTCCCTTCCCCGCAATGGCATACTTAGACACAGTGCTCCCTGGTCCTTTGGATACACTGTCTCCATTCAATCTTCACAAATGAAAAGGGTTGACACACGGACTAAGAACAGAGAAGCAAAGAGGGCAGACTCACCTGGGGAGGGGTGTTGGTGGGGAGCAGTGGGTCATGTTTCTACGGGACAAGAGACATGGTGTTTTCCACTACTGTGGCAGAGTGGGGAATCAATCCACCACAGCCACACTGGATTAGATCCCTGGCTATGTAGAGTAAGAAATGCTCCATGTAATATCACTCCTTCTCATCAGCTTAAAAAGTGGGGGTCAGAAAAGCCTCAGGGTGCTCCCACTCTAACATCCTGAGTCCTTGGTGCCTCTTTCTACTTTACCTTATAGGCAAGTGACATTGATAAATAAAATCCCTTCTGTGCCTTGTTTGACAAATCATCATGTAAACTGAAAGCATTGCTCAAATTAATTCTGATGAGGTTCAGGGGGAGGGAAAACAAGTATCAACCAAAACTCTTTAATAAAGTGTTCTAAAAAGAAAAAAAAAAAAGAAGAAGAATTATCGCCCACTTCTGCACTTCCTGCTTTTGGCAGGGACTAGGAGTGGAAGTCTGAAAACACTGTGAGACAGTCTGTTCTCATGGTATTTCTAGCTGAGAACAGGAAGGAGGGGAACTCTCTCTGAGTGAGAGAGCCTGTTTTGCAGTGATTAGCAGGCCAAAGAAGTTTTATTGGGCACCCAAGCTTAACAATACCTCTGAAATCTTCACCTTTATTGGGTCAACCTAAGAGATTTTTTTTTCTGGAAGCCACAGCAAGACTATCTCCATGGAGACAAACAGCACAGGATGCCACCCCTAGGTGGCCACTTCTCTCTATCTCGAGTTAGGCACCAGGGACTGAGAAGGAACCCATGTGGCCCCTACCCTTCTAGAGCATATGAGGGAAGGATAATGCGCTGTGCTGTCCTGGCTATGCAGATAATGCTAGGCAGGCAGGCACCTTCCACGTGCTGTTCAGGGCTCCTCGTAGGCTTGCATTTGTTTCCTACCCCACCTTGGCTCTCTCATCACTCACCACTGGAATATTCTGCACCTTCAGGCAAAGCTCGTCTCTCGACTAATTCTCTTGCCCATCTCCAGTCACAACAGACTTCCCTGTGTGTGATGCTGATGAGTCACAGAGGCTGAATCACGTTAGCAATAAGCACGGGATGATTAATGCCTATTGATTGGCTGGGCGTGCTGGAACCAGATGATTCTGAAGTCTAGACTAGTTCATACTGTCCCCTAATTACCTGAAGGCGGTTGTGTGCTCTGGTGTCTAATGCTGCAGCAGACATTCCAGGGAACGCCCTCGGTCACCATAACTCCAATTAGATGGTGTAAATCCCCTGAAGGCATGTACCAATGATGTCTTCACAGGCAAGACCAGTCCAGGTCTTAGACAGAGGTCAACTGGAGACCACACTCTCCTTCCTTTTGATGGAAGGACATGGAATTCCCCATTTCTGAGGGAAATTTGTTCACTTATCAACTGAGAAAACTTCCTGGGAAAATATTTTATTTGATTTTTCCCTTTGACGAAATGTAATGTTAAAGATAGTCTTCTAACAAAGGACTCATATCCCATGATTGATTGAAATGTCCAGTACTATGTTTAACTAATTATTTAAACCCAGACGGTATGCTTACACAGTGATAAAGACAACATTTGCTAAAGGCATGTCAGTCAGGCTGGTCCACTTAAGATCTATCACATTGAACTCAATATGACTTTTGTTTTTTGAGGGGGGGTTCTATTGTTGTTGTTTGCTTGTTTATTTGTTTTTTAGATAGTTCCCTACATAGCCAAGAATGACCTGTTGATCCTCCTGCCTCAGCCTCCTTTAGTGCTGGGTTTATAGGTATGTACTACCACATCTGGTTTACTATGATATTTTGACCATCATGGCTGTTTAATATACACGGCCAGATGGGAGGATAAGGAATGCGCTCGGGGTAAGCGTAAGCTTCAGGTTATGTCTGGGTTGATGTTTTCCTAGATCTCTGGATAATCCTAGGATGACTTCATGACCTTTTATCTTTTTCATGCTTGGGATGTGGAAGTTAAGAAGTGCACATGAGAACACCATGCCTGTGTCAGGCAGCAGAGCAAGTAATACCCAAATGATACAGCATGGTGAGAGGGCACCGGGCAGTCTCCACAGAGCGGGGCGTGAGTGGAAAACCTGGCAGTCAGTCCCAGCCCAGATCAGAATGTGGATAGCAGGCACTGGCTGGCTGGTTTGGTTGGTTTGGTTGGCTGTCTTAGAATAACACACCTTTAAAAAAAATGTGTTCATTGTAGTAAGTGTGACGCTGAAACTGGTACAAAGGTGAATGTCGATGTCACTTTGATGTGACCCAGCGATGCCACGGTAACCTGTTGCCCTTTATCACCGAAAGTGGTTTTTGAGCACCCTATGCGTGTGAAAACAACAGGAGCCCTTTGTGTCGTCAGTTTCAGAATCTGTGGGTTCAGCTTCAACAGATTTTCCAACCCTGGAAGGAAAGGCTGGGAAAGAAATTGTGTCTGCACACTGAGCATGCACAGACCTCCCCTCCCACCTTGTCATCACTAAACAATGTAGTATGACAAGTGTTTGCATAGCATTTGCATGGTATTAGCCCTTGTGAGAAACTTAGAGATTAGTTAAAATGCATGGAAGGGCTAGGGATACAGTTCAGGGGCAGAGCACTCACCTAGCACGCATGAGGCCCTGGGTTTGATCCCCAGCACTACACACACACACACACACACACACACACACACACACACACACACACACACATAGGCACACAGGCACACACACACACACACAGGCACACATGCAAGCAAGCCCCCAGTAAATGCTTTCTTTTATAAGAGTTGCCTTGGTCACAATGTCTCTTCACAGCAATAGAGTATTGAGTAAGACAATGTATGTGGGTTATATTATATTTTAAAAAAAAACCACTGTGTCACTTTATATAAGAGACTCGAGCATCTGAGCATCTGTCCATTTTGGTATCCATGGGGTTTTATTAGACTTATATTCCTGTAGAGATGGCGAGATCTACAGCTATAATCTTTTACAAACCATTCTTTTTGTTAAACAATATGCAGAGAGATTCCCTGTGATTCTTTCCCTACATAATTTGAAGTCCTTCTGTGACTTGCTTTTTAATGGTGTCATAATGTATTGTCCAGTGGCTACACCACATTGCACTTGTCCAGTCTCCTAGGACAGGATGCTAGAATCGTTTTCAGTGTTCTACTGATATGCACAATGTTGGGATAAATATAATTGTCTTTAACTATTTGTATATATCCCTGATGATTTCCTTAGAAAAGACTCTTAGAAATGAAAGGGCAACATTATAGGCATGGCTTTCCAGGATAGGTAACTGAGAAAGTGTATTTAAGCAATGCTTGTGATTTCATTGCAAGGGCCTTTTATATTATGTAAACATCTACACTAGAGATAAATATCCATCACTTTGAGTCTGGCAACAGGAAGTCTTCCCAGATTTTGGCTGCCATTTTGTAAACACCAGGAAACTTACTCTGTAGGGGGCAGACACAATGAGATAGAGTCTCACCTGTCTCTAAGATGCACAAGCAAATCTTCACTACCTTGAATTTGTGCCTTTCAGCTCTTTACTGGACTGTGGTTTCACAGAGCCAGAATTACAATTTGGGGCTGATATAGAATCAAACTAAAGTAAGTTTGATCATAGAGTTGGTTTGATACCCTTGGTGATTCCTGGTCATCTTAGATACAAAATATGGACAATTTCAGAACTTAAGGATTCATGTTTCAACTTTCAATCATTCTTAGTAACAAGATGAAATTATGCATCATTGGCTGTAGCCTACCTGGGACAGGAGGCATTGTCTTTGTCCTGCATATCCATCCTGTATATGTTGCCAGCTTTGAGTTGCTTAGTAGCCTCCGCAACTGTCAAGACAAATCATCATAGTATCACAATGATGGCATTCAAGTAACCCTTATCTGGTTTAATATGGTCTCAAAGTGGACCAGTATCAACGATGGTGATTTGGATACCTTGATGCTCTTCTTCTAGGGGGAAGGTGAAAACAGAACTTAATAAAGAAAACAAATTATATATGCACACAGTAGAGTTAACTATTTTGCAAGAGAGATCACATCACTCTATCGTATTACTTGTTACGGGGGTACCTGAAGAGAAAAACTCCAGAAAGGCATGAATAAGTAGAATGAAGACTTTATAACCACTGGCAAGACTGTCCCAAGCAGCTCAATGGGAAGTAGCCTCGACCTCCAGTTGGTTTGAGTTTTTAAGGGCAAAAAAATGCAATTGTGGTGTGTACAGAAAAGCAGCTCTGGACATGTACAGCAAGCATAGCATTGTTTACAGAAGCTGGGACAGAGCAGTTAAATGGTCAGGCAGTTAACCTTTACCTCAGGGCCACCTTGTACAGGAATTTATGGCTGGTACAGAGACCCATTTATCTTAGGACTTTATGGCAATTTAAAGTATTCTTATGAATACTTTACTGAGAAGGCATAACTACAGTTCAGTGACCCACTACATACTAGCTATTGTTAACTTATTACTGTGTCTCATTATAAATTGAGCTTTATCAGGAGTTTTTGTGTATTTACAGGATGAAACACAACAGATACAGGAGTCAGCACGAGCTGTATGTTTCAGGCTTCCACTGGGAACTTGGGAAGTACCCCACATAGAGAAGGGCAAAGACACTTTGCATCAATGTGTCAAAATATGTTTTGTCTCAGCTACATACAAGGTATATTGCTTTTAAAATGTGAGTTACAACTTCCGCTAGAACACTCCATCTTGGAAGTCCTATTTAGGGTTACACTGTCACCTGACTGTCAGCGGAGGACACTAATGTTCTCATATATGTACCAGGAAGTATGCCTCTGAAACGACGCGGCATGGGTGCTAGGACTGTTCATTCATCCTGTTCCCTCAACAGCTGGCTAGTGCGTGTCTGTTCCAGACTTAGAACGTGATTGGCCCAGTACCCTCCAGGCTAGAGTGTAGTTCAGGGACAACATGGATGAAGGCTTCATCAACGAGGATGCTAACTGTGGAGGTATTGTGTTCCCCAAAATATTGTGTACCTTAATAAGCTTATCTGGGGTCAGAGACAGACAGCCACTAGATACAGAGGCTAGAAAATGGTGGCACTCACGCCTTTAATCCTAGCATTCCAGAGACAGAAATCCATGAATTCAAGGATACAGACAGGCATGGTGACTCATCACACCTTTAATCTCAGAAAGCAAGTCTTTAATCCCAGGGAGTGGTGGTAGAAAGCAGAAAGGTGTATAAGGCGTGAGGATCAGAAACTAGAAGCATTTGGCTGGTTAAGCATTTGCCTGGTTAGGCATTTGGCTGGTTAAGCATTTGGCTGGTTAAGCATTCAGGCTTTCGAGTAGCAGTTCAGCTGAGAGCCATTGGGATGAGGACACAGAAGCTTCCAGTCTGAGGAAACAGGACCAACTGAGGAACTGGCAGGTGAGATAGCTGTGGCTCGTTCTGGTACTCTGACCTTCCAGCTTTGACCCCAATAACTGGCCTCAAATTTGATTTTATTAATAAGAACTTTTAAGATTCATGCTACAGCTAACGATTATGGCAAAAGTAAAATGAACCAGTGGCTTGATACTTTTTAATGTCTTCTATCCCTGTCCCTTTCCTTCTTCCACATCAGAATTTCCAGGAAAAGCTCCAGGTTGGGAACAAAATGTCAGTTGAGGAATTCCTGAAATGGCACATGCTGGAGCAGCTTATCTGTTGTAACTGCTCCTAGGGATAGTAGAGCTAGTCCAAAGTACACACCGAGGCCACTTACTATTGGTTGAAATATGCAAAAGGTGTAAATCAAGTTAATAAGCTATAACTGAAAATATAACTTCAAATGGACCAAGTTGGAAGAAATATGTAAAGCCAACTGGGCTTTACGTGTTGGTAAACTGAGAGATTATTAAGCAATGGGCTGTAATGATTAGTTATACATGGGGCCTTCTGGATGAGCTGGATGAGGATGGAGAAGTGAGAAAGGAATACACAACTGCTCCACAGAAAATAGAAATGGTCTCTGGGAATTGTGTCCAATGGCATTAGAGTCTTTTACTCTTCGATGAGATACATGTTGAAAACGATGACATTATATCATTTTACATTCGATCTGACTTTCTGTTCTTCAAATTTCTAAACTCATCACTTGTTGCTTAGGTAATTTGAATGAAAATTAACTAGAAAGAAAGAAGACCAGAAAGCCACTTTGGAATTAGAATGTGCCCCGTAGAGTGGGACTTCTAGGAAAAGGTTAGGGTTATTTGTTTTTGTTTGTTTGGTTTTGGCGCTATATGAACATGCTGTACAAAGTTAAAGACCTGACTAAAGTTCAGCACTCAGACACCACAGTCATCACAATACTGCAAACAGCAAACCAGTGGTTTAAAAGAGAACATGTCCAGACACAGATCACGGCACCCGGCCGTTTTAGACCCAGCTTTACAGGTAATCAAATATTGATTTTTCAGTGACCTGGACATTTAAGAATCTGGATTTTTTCTATAATAAGAGATGAGTCCCATTGTTTAAAATGCTTCTTGTCAGCTCCCCCACCTTATCTTTATAGCGATCTCAGAAGATGCCCTCTCCTACTCCAGGTACAGCAAACAAGGCTTGAATATCGGACCCACTCGTCACACACAGCGAGTGCCTGGAGGAACAAAGATCCTAGCATACTTCTCTTGGCTCTCGGTCCTGTTCCCTAGCTATGAATACACTGACACAGTGAATTTTCTGGAATGTCCATTCATTTCTCAGAAAAATTTGTTACTGTTCCTAGTGGTTTTCAATGTGTGTGTGTGTGTGTGTGTGTGTGTGTGTGTGTGTGTGTGTGTGTGTGTGTGTGCGTGTGCGTGCGTGTGCGTGTGTGTGTGTGTGTGTGTGTGTGTGTGTGTGTGTGACATATATTTTTAAAAGGTGGCCAAAGGTTCTGGATGAGCCATTAATGAGCCCCTAGGACCCTTTTAGGAGATACTCAACTCCCTTATAAGTAATTCTCAGGCCAATATCTTTATAGAAATGGCTAGTCAGTCCTAAGGACCTTTAGAGATGCCCCCTAAGCTAACGTCCAAGGGTATACCAAGTAGGGAGGAAATGACGATAGCAGTTACCTCCGGGACTCCATTGCTTTTTTGTTATGGTTATGGCCTAGACTGCTTAAAACATACATAAATACTGTGTTCCTCTAATGCTAAGTACTGAACAGTTCTTCCAGCTATTAGTGTCGTGTAATAGCCAACAGTTTGCACAGATTATAGAAAAAGTACACTTGGTAAAGGTAGTTTGACTTTTGGTAATACATGTGCTTTACACATAAATCCTTTTAACTCTCAGGACACTGTAGTTTAAAATGTAGTTTCTCCATTGGGGCTGGAGTTACCAGCAGTTACCAGCACTTGCACTTAATCGTAAGGACTGGAGTTTGGATCACACCCCACCATCCATGCCCGGCAGATCACAACTACCCATCACCTCTACACACACACACACACACACACACACACACACACACACACACACACATGCACGCACACGCATGCACACACACACGCACCTTTCAGTATGTTTCTAGCTACTTATTGTGGGTTTAGTAAGATACAGAGAGAGTAAAAGTCAAACAACTTCCCACCCATATCCTACAACACGCAGGCCAACAGCCATGGGGACTTGAAGCTGTCCTGTCCATGGCCATTAAAGAAAATTCACTGTGACTTAAAATGATAAAAGTAAAACTCTGTTTATCTGGATTTAAACATGGTATAACCTATTCATGAGTTGAAGTATGACCTGATAGCTAGAAATACGTATACGTTTTAGGTTACATGTACTGGCCAAAAAAATATGAGCTTGATTGCAACCCCACCCTTATTGTGCACACATCTATGTTGTTTAATGTCAAAATGTACCTGAAAACCTGGAACTTCATGAAAAAGTTTTTGCTCAGTTAAAAAAATAAAAAATGAACTATCCTGCTTCTAACAAATATTCAAAGAAGCAGTTAAGCCCCCAAGTCAACAGCATCTCTGGTTTACTTGGAAGAGGCGTTTGATCCAGCATTGAGATTCATCTCTGAGCTATTTTATCTTTAACAAAGCAGAAAAATTTGAAGAATGAAAGATATTGTTTCAGTTTTGGAGGCCTTTAATAATTTCATGGAAGACCTTGTTTTTTAAGATCTGAAGATTCTTCAGTCATGGCAGAACTGTGGGTCAGTGAGAATCTGCATGCTTTCAGGCTTAATTGCTTCAGCAAGTGGTGTCCTTGTGCCCTGGTGCCATGGAAAACCCAACCCCTGGTATCAAATCACAATTCTATTGTCTGCTGAACTTGGCATACCATTGGTTACTGCCTCTCCTGGTCTGGGGTTTTAAGTTTGCTGTTGAGTCACAAGGAAGATAAACACAGCATGAATAGCAAAGATGTCAGAGAAAGTCATTGAGTGATGTGTCTCATCACCAAGGTATAGAAGAATGTACAGGGTAGGTGGTACCCATTGTACTGCTGGAGAATTGCCTGAATACTTGTACCTCCATTCAGAGAGCTGGAGTCACCTGAGTGAGGTCAAGGTGAGTGCTGGAGTCTCCAGAATGGAGATACCTACTTGCCTTTGTCTACAATGCTTGGCAAGGACATCCGGGTTTACTGTTTGATGGCAGCAGCACTTGGATCCGTCCACACTCCATGTTCTATGTGGTGGCTCCAGGCTGGGGCACAGGCTGTGCTTTTGGAGGATGAATAAGAGACCAAAAAGGATTCCCAAGAATCTCACACCCTTGTAGCCTTCTTACTTTAAAAAAGTCTCTCTGACCTTTCCTGCAGTACAGGAATACTGACTCAGTATTCGCTTTGTCTCAATCTCTTTTGA